AAACCCAAGTTAATAAATTGAAGTTAACTTGGTGGCAAGAATCTGCTTTCCTTGTTTATCTGCTTGTAGCCACGTTATCATTAAGAGTAAGAGTCAGTGCTGTAAACCATGTTGATAAGGTTTGACCTTTAACATAAGCCTGACCTTGCATATGATCTTTGCAGGAAGGAAGATGCGGTACAGTTGGGTACAGGTACACCAGTACACTGATTATGTAGATACATTCTATGTGTATTGCAAATAAAGACGTATTTGACAGTTTAAGGAGAAATGTTTATTTTGGATTCTGTTTAGATTTTGTTGTCGCTAGTGGTTTTTACCTGTAGTAGATATTTGTATACACTAGGGGGCGACAGAGGTTTGGCAAACATTCCGTCTGTTTCAACGACAGTCAGTAATACAGTACATGATCAGTTCTTATTAAAGTTCCCCTTTGATGGCTGACCTAATGTAGAGTCTTCGTCAAATATATTGGTCAGATGACTGATATTTTTTGATAAAATTCCCATAAAAAGCAACCGAGGACTCAAAAGTTTTTAACTTTTCCTGTTTGAGACAATAAACAAAGAGAAAATCAATAAACATGGCAGTAAGCTGAGGAAGTTTGTCTTGTCCAGAAATAAAAGCTGAATTGTGTGTGACAGCTCAACCTCTCTTTGATAAACATTTGGGACTCCTTTACCACCTTAACATTTTGAGGTTAAACATTCTTATTATGGTCCATCTGTATAAAACAAGTCAACATGTTTTTATAGTTTATTTTCAAATAAATGCAACCAAATGTCCCAAGAATTGATCCTGCCCCACTCTGTTGTTATGTATAATAATACCTCTACAGCCTTGACAGAAGCCATGTTCCTCAGAAAATCAGGAGAATGTAATTCTATGGCAAACATACTTCAACAAAAAGAATTAGTGCAGAAACTAATGAGGTAAATATATAATGTGAGGCAACAATTCAACAAGTTGCAAAGTAACTGAATATGTCATCTTGGTCTATACATCAGAGGATGAATTTAAAAATATCACACTTGGAATTCAGGTTGTAAAACTTGATGAAGAAGAAAGGACAAGTTTTACTGTGTGAGCAGAACTGTTTGAAATTCCCCTCATGCTGGGGAGCAGGCTTACATAACCATTGTGTCCTGCTGAGAGAAGGAGTTCAACATAGTTAGAAAGAGAACTAGAGAGAGGAAGTTGTAACATCCATATCACAGTCCTGATATGGTGGAATCTCCATAATAAAACCCGGTACTTGGTATTGCACCATACCCAGTGTTGAAAAGTAAGGTCAATGGTAACTTATTCCATTCACAGCCTGTAGCTGTCGTGTTAGTGGAGATTTGGTGTTCATTTTGGCAGAACCACAACTATTCTATTTCATATTTGTGTGATTTTCTGCACCACCTGGTACAAAGTCAACAAATGATTGTTTTGTAGATCCATTCATAACGAGTAAAAATGGGAGGGGTTATAATCTGAACAGACTCCACTTTGTCTAAAGAGAGAAAACTAGGCTTCACACTCAGTTGAAGAGAGGAGAGGAGACCAGGGAAGAGAGGATACTCAGAAGTGTCCAGTCAGCGTGTGTGTGTGAACATCCCACATTTACGTAAGGTCCAAAGGTTTCCTCTTTACAATCACCATACATGTGACACGTCTGTAGGACAGATAATAAAGCAATAAAATTACATCATTTTGTCCTTAAAGAAAATGTAAGGGTCTTTGAATGTACTGTACAGCTGTTAGGTAACAACGACACTCATTTTGTTTCCTCTGTGTATTTTTAGGTGTAATAAACCAACATTAAAGTATTTCCTTTTTTATAGACATGAAAGCTGTGTTCTCACAGTTCTATTCTTTGCTGTATTAGGGCACATGGATGTGGAACAATGAAACAATGAAATGAAAGAGCAAGGTCTCAGCTAGACTGGTCTGAACTGGTCCTGGTCAGACGTGTTTTTTTTTCTTTTTCTTTTTTTCTCATGCTTTTGCGGTCTTACAGAATAAACTCTCTCAGAGACATCAGCCCAGGATTTACTGTGAGACTTTCATTTCCTCTCTGTCTGAGCCTGTGTGTTTCTGGCACCAAAGTTAAAACAAAGTTGAAACAAAGTCAGCTTTATATTTATTATAATGGAATGAATTTATTCTTCTTACTCAGTCCAAAATTATTATTTTTAAACCAGAGCAATTATATAAAATATGGTATCATAGTAATGCTTCTCTGCAGAAATAAGCTCAAGCCTTGCCACCTGCTTTCCAGTATGTGATTACAATATTATAATTATATAATAATATAATATAATGATATAATTATATTGAAATCTTATAAAACCAAATAAATACACATTTTTATCTGACCTTATAATATATCGATTTTCCTTAATAATAGATTTGGAGCGCCTATAGTTACCGTGGGATTTAATAATAAGCTAGTATAGGTGTATATAACAAAATTATAAAACCAAAAAAATTAATATAATTTTAATATTTAACATACGTAAAATTTGAAATTTGAATCTAATTTGAAGGGGGGGTTTCACAGAACTAATATCCTGTTGGTTGCTGGGTCAATGCTCAACAATTATAATTGTTGTTACAGAGCAAATGCTTGTTATTTTCTCAACTGCAGTACTTTTTCAATTTAAGTGAGCATGCCCACAGGCATGTATGTGCTTGAATTTGTGACCATTTAAGACCATATTGTGGATATTAGTGGTCAACTTCAGACCTGTTGCTCATATAAAGTCCTGATGTCCTGTTTCCTGATGTCTGGTTAAAGTTAGACTGTAAATGTAAATTGCCTTTATAGTAATGGGATAAGGCATTAACTGGTTGTTTGCCTGCACAAATGAATGGGAGTCAATACATTGACATAGAAAGACTGGTTGCAGTCTCTGTCTCTGGGTGTGGGGGTTGGTCTGCAGATGGATTTACTGTAGGGCCTTCCCCTGTAGGGCCTCTGAACAAAAGCCTAGAGAGGCAACAATAGGACAAATGCTGTCCTTCATGAACTTGCTGCCTCCATGTCTGGTGCAGCTTTTCCCAAACACGTGAGGCAGGTTCACTGGACTGACATCCTGCCACAAGTTGGAAAGTGCGCTGGTAATGTGAGGACTCGGCATAACATGTGTCACCTTGGAGAAGACTGCAAACTCCATGACTTCTCATCATTAACCTGTTACTATTTATGCAGGCAGCTCTATCACACTGCAAATTTGGTTCCAAGCTGGAGGCCCTTCTCCAAAACATGTTTACAGCACACTCCCCTCTTTTTTATCTGCCCTTTCCCCTGTTTATTTTTGCACCTCCCCCTTTCTTAGCCCCTCCTCTTCACTCTTGTTTCATCATCTTGTACCCACACATCTTGCTCATGTAGTTTATTCCTGCCTCCAATCATAAAATAACAACTTCACTAAGGCCCCTGTCTTGGTTTTTAAAGTCTGCTCGCTCACGTGAGCAAAAATGACCAGCCAATCTGCTGCAGCCTGAAGTAAACAGGCTGAAACAAATGCAGAGGCAGATGGCGTGTGTTTGTATTTTGTCTGAGAGAAAAAATATAAATAGACTGTTCATGAGCATAAATGTGCCTGTTGAGATGGTTTGACTAACAGGGCCATCTGACATACAGCTGCCTACATTGTTTTTTGCATTAACATTAGTAACAACCCGTCTTTAGTTTCATGTCTGAAACACTTATAGTTGTACTAGGAACTCTGTATTTAATTTTGACCCAAGAAAGCTATAAAAAGATGTTCGGGCTAAATATTGTTATAAGTCTGTATTTGGCAACTTAGGTGTCAGGACTGAATAAGAATATTACTGTATTAAAAACAATAAGATGAAATAAAAAGATCTGGGACATGGTGTAAAAATAACTCCATCAAAATCCATTGTTTTATGTTTATTTTGTCCTCTTAATAAGCTTCTGAAAACATGAAGTTTAATTAAAAAAAAATAACAAACACAGTATTGCACTGTAAGTTGCCCGTAAGCACATTTAAAAATAACAAACACAGTATTGCACTGTCCCCTTGAGTTGCCTGTAAGCACATTAAGATGTTTTAGATGACTTTCTTTGCAGGTTAATGTGTATACTGCAGCAGTGAAGAAGACAAATAAATAAAATTACATCAAAATGAAAGAGAACTGACAATAGGTGTGAATCAAGAGTTGTTGTTTGTGCCTCTCATTAATCCTATCAATAGGAGACGAAATCACTCACTGTTCATCTCTGCGCATAGTAAAACAAAGGAAATCAACAGGTAGTAGAATCAAAAGGAATATAATTGTGTAACTCATTATTTAAAATTCACTTTTAAGAATCAAGCCTATTAATTTAGCGGACTGTGGGCTAATGTATAAGTTTAGTATTTATACTTGGCAGCCTTCACAGAGTAGACCTACTGTACTACTGAATAGTCGTCCTGCAGTAACAACAACAACAACTCCTTAGTAAGTCATATTATTTTGCTTCTCAGTCAAAAAAAAAACAAAGATCTCATAACACAATTCAATCTAAATGTTTAGCAAAATGCAAACAACATAAACTGATATGTTTATAGGGTATACAGTACTTTGTGTACCATTGGATTTTGGTGATGCTTTTCCTGGAACTCTGATGCTAGCATAACTGAGTAAAGGTCAACAACAGCTGAGGAAGTCTTCATAGCACGAGCTGAGACATGAGTCTTCCACTACTCTGGTTAAACACCATAATAAATATTCAAATATTCAATTCACTTTTTTTGCCTTGTTATTGCATCTTTTCAAAGGGGTTTTAAATAAAATAAAACAAGGCAATTTATATAGTTTTCATATTTTTATTGGTTGTCATTAATGGATGGATTTCAGTCATACGCACAAACATTAAAATATTCTATATTTGATTCAGCGGCATAGAACTATGGAATATAATGAGAAATGAATTAAAACATATCAAAACATAAACCACTTTAAGATCATGGATCATGGATAAACTGTTGATATAGGGTGATGTTTGTTGTCATGAAATGTCCTGTAATAAGTTTAATGAATGGCATTGTCTGCATCTAATTATTAGTATTTATGTTATTTTATGGTTTATGTCTATCCTTGTTCTAAACATTCAGAATAAGCTTTAGAGTCAGAATGTTGAGATAGTCATATCTGAATTATTGAATTAATGAGTTCTGTTAAACATTAGGGTGTGTATGTCTGTGTTAATGAGATTAGAGTACAACAAAGATCTGATCTATTTATATTGATTGAGGAAAGGACTCATCAGGTGACAAGGCAGAGTTTGATCAATTTATCCCTTCATCACACCATTTGTTAACACTTTCTTAGGCCTCAAACAGTCATAACAAAAATGTATTTCCACGCTTCATTATCTGATAGGGTCATCACTGGAAGTTGCAAAACAACTACGAATATGATATGAACATGATATATGATCAATAATATTTAACTATAATATTATAGGATGTCTTATATTGTAACTGTAGAATAGGGGGTATTAGTAGTGTCAAATAATAGTGTGTATGGTATAGGTTTAGTTGTTTACTTAGAAAGACAGAATTTAACACACTTTTTAACAGTTAACTGTTTTAACTGTTTGTTAACCTGCAGTCTCCCAGTACGTATTCTCGCGTGGATTAACTCTTACATTTGTTTGTTCATTATTTTTCCGTTTTTACATGGACAGCGACGACAAAAAATACAGAGAGCATCGGGTTTCAACATTCTGGTTTCTGGAACAAAAAGTGCAGCTCTGTGAAATTAAAGAGAGGGAATTAAGAAAATGTAATTCCATGTGTACATATTTGTGTATGTCCGTGTGTGTAAGAGGCTGAAAAAATAGGAATAGAATATCCCGAAATGTAGTACAGAGATAATAATTTTCAGTTTTGTGTAACGAATTTGTTTGTTCAAAGTTCCAGGGCGGGGCTTGTGTCCTTTAGTCCAACTGTGGGCGGGGAAACGGAGGCTCCTACTTATACAACCCGAATTTTACTGTAAGCAGATTAACATAGACGCCAATACGGACAGTAACAAAAAAGGAGGTTAAGACGCGGACGAACTCTACTGTGTGTTTCAACAGGTAAATTTCCACTTTTTTAAAATAAGTTTTCCTCCTTTTGTTTACTTTAGAAGCGGGGACCAGAGGAAAAGCAATGATGATATTTCTGTGCCTCGTGGCTTAGCGTATGACGTGTTCTCTTTGGGTTATCAGTTACACAAAAACGACGAATGATTCGTACTATAACAGCCTGTTGATTTTTGTTTCGTAAGCCCGTGATGTGGTAGACTAGAAGAATATTCTCTCGAGTTTTTGTCATAAATATTTTAAAAGCTCGTGACTTAAAGGCAACTCTTATTTTGAAAATAACGTTTCCGTTAACCCGCCTGTTTACGGCTGATGTAAACGGCTGTTGCTGTTTCATCAGGAAACCGGTTTTTCAGGCATATTAAAAGCTTCAAAAACCTGTCGAAACAGGTAAAACCTATTAAAGAACACCTTCAAACAAATCTCCCTCCTTAGAAAATTATTTCAGTGGAGTAGGTAAAGAGAGCGCATCTAATTTTATTCACTAAGGCAGCGATGTAACATGTTTAACACGTCCATTTACACAATGAAACGTTTGTTATTTAGTAATACCACGCCAAACTACTATGGAGCACGAACTGCAAACAGTTCACTGACTTCGTCTTGTCGCTTTCAATGTCTTTGTTTGCACAGTTGTTTCTTTGAAAAGTAGCATTACTTCTCTCTCCTCCCGTTCTTCACTGTTCGTTCACTTACATTGTTTATTCAAGGCTATTATGATAACATCTTCTATAACTTAAATAATAACATCTAACTTGTACATTTTTAATCACTGCTTGACGAAAGGATACAAAACCATGAATAAGGACACGGACATCGACATGAAGGACGTGGAACTGAATGAGGTGGATCCTGAAAAGCAGCCTATGACAGGAGATGGTCAGGCATCTAGTGGAGAGAAGAACGGCAGTGTCAAGCTGAAGGTCCCCGATGAGGAGGCTAATTTCACCGGCTTGTCTAAAGAAGAGCTGATGAAGGTGGCTGGTACTCCAGGGTAAGGACTGCAGCAGGGAATGGAGTTGCCTTTAGTTTAGCAGAGATTCAAAAGAGAAAAGAAGGGTAAATACTTTCACAAAAATATTAATTATTGTTTTAAAAATATTTTTAGGGGGTATAGTATAGCTGTGGTCCCCTTTTTTGTCACTAAAATGGTGGCCTAAGGATAGGGATTTTTATATTTTTCATTCATGACAAGCCTTCAAAATTGAATTTTTCTCCCCCCCCATAGATGGGTAAGGACTCGTTGGGTGCTTCTCATCCTGTTCTGGCTGGGCTGGGTGGGCATGCTGGCCGGAGCCATAGTGATCATTGTCCAGGCCCCTCGCTGTAAACCCATTCCTGAAATGAACTGGTGGAATGAAGGACCCCTCTACCAGATCAGTGACTTTGAAGCTTTTGCCGAGGGAATGGAAGGTAAAATATATAAAAAATGTACTTTTGTTAATGTAAATGTTCTTTGCTGTTTATGTCCTAGATATTTTTGCTGATTTTTTTTTAACTTCTATTTATGCCCCATGTGGTTGCCAATGTTCCCAAATTTAGATCGAGAGATTATTTACTAAATCCTAGTTGACCAATGTGGTAACACGGGAGAAGTCCCATGATGGAGACTTGGGTTTCTTGTGTTCCTTGTGGTTTTGCTTAGCCGGCCAGATAATATCAGACTGCTGACTCAGTTGACAACATGTGTCTCAAGGTCTGAGGTACAACGAAGAAGGCCTTGAGTCATTTCTTTTTATATCTGTTCTGCGTAGATCTAAGGTGAAAGTTCACTAACTGTTATTTTAATGTAATGAGCTGGTAAGGTTTTTATTGGATGTTAGCTGCTTTATTCAAATCATTTCTGGGTTATTTTTCAAGTCGTTGATTAGTATATATAATCATTTAAACAAATGCTGCTCGACAGTGGAGCATTAGGTTTCCATGTTGCCTTGGGCAGAATTCCAGAAACATCATGTGACTCCATGCTCTCACATGAACCTAGTCTTTCACTAAAGCTTCACATGGCAGCAGTGGGTGTGGAGAGAGTCACTACACGGAAATGACA